GTACTCCACTTAGGAAGGAACAATCAGTTGCACACATGCAAAATGGGAAATGCCTGCCTAGGAAGTAGTACTGCGGAAAGTGATCTGGGGGTCATAGTGGATCACAAACTAAATATGAGTCAACAGTGTAACACTGTTGCAAAAAAAGCAAACATAATACTGGGATATATTAGCAGGAGTGTTGTAAGCAAGACATGAGAAGTAATTCTTCCGTTCTACTCCGCGCTGATTAGGCCTCAACTGGAGTATTGTGTCCAGTTCTGGGCACCACATTTCAGGAAAGATGTGGACAAATTGGAGAAAGTCCAGAGAAGAGCAACAAAAATCATTAAAAGGTCTAGAAAACATGACCTAGGAGGGAAGATTGAAAAATTGGGTTTGTTTAGTCTGGAGAAGAGACGACAGAGGGGACATGATAACAGTTTTCAAGTACATAAAAGAAGGAGGGAGAAGAATTGTTCTGCTTAACCTCTGAGGATAGAACAAGAAGCAATTGGCTTAAATTGTAGCAAGGGCAGTTTAGGTTGGACATTAGGAAAAACTTCCTGTCAGAGTGGTTAAGCACTAGAATAAATTGCCTAGGGGAGGTGTGGAATCTCCATCATTGGGGATTTTTAAGAGCAGGTTGGACAAACACCTGTCAGCGATGGTCTAGATAATACTTAGTCCTGCCTTGAGTGCAGGGGACTGGACTAGATGACCTCTCGAGGTCCCTTTCAGTTCTATGATTTCAAAGCACATCCCATTATGATTAGTTAACTGTTCTACATCATCCTAAAATGCAAAGTTATTAAATATGTCTATCTGAGCTTGCCAGCCTTACAGATCAAGACCACAGGAACTGGGACAATATATTATTTTTTCTAACTTTGCAGAGGGTCATGTGTGTGCACTGGGTGGGTTTTTGTTTGTTTTTGTGTTAAGAAAGGAACAGCTGTGGAAGATTAATAGAACAGAAGAGGAAAGACAGACTGCACACTGTGCACTTTTGTCTGCACTTGCTGTTCAGCATTCTGACATGGAGGTTTTGAGAAATAGATTGTGGAATAATAATTGAAAAGTTTAACATAACCAAAAATGGCTCGTGTGGGGTTTCAGAGTACAGCATGTTACCACTGCAGTGAATCCGTGCAATTTAGTATTGAGCCATAACATTTTGGAAGAAGGAATATATGGTCAATAAAAATACAAAACATGACCATGTCTTTTATAGGCCCTTATTCATGTATCCAAACAGTGATTCCTTGGTGAACTACACAGGATGAAATCCTGACCCCATTTAAGTCAATGGCCAAATTCCCATTGACTTGAATAGGGCCAGGAGATCCCCCGCATGAGTTTTCAAAACAGAAAGGAACCACATTATTTCTTGAAAGGAGAGCAATAACACTCACTCCTACCATCCCTAAGGTTTTTAAAGAGGTGGCAGAACCCTTAATAAAAATAAAAAATCCAACCTAGAAGTAGACATCCTCTTTTCTCGGGGGCACAGGACACCAGCAGCTTTAGCAAGGACATCTTTATTCAACGAGTAGCATAGCCCACTCTTGATTCAGATAGCAGAAAGTGATTTTGGTCACTCCCTTTTCTGCAGTTGACTGTGCATGGAGTGACGGCTGTGCGGGCACAGAACCCTAATTAGGTCTAACAGGACTTCACAGGGCCACAGCAAGTTGCACATGTTCTGTCAATTATAAGATTGGTCTTTGGAACCATGCAGTTTGTTAGTTTTCACAGCACTACCCCGACCATAGTAAGATTTTGCTTTCTTAAGCGCACGCACAGGTTTTTTTGTTTCTCCTCAGAGACCATCTTTTTCTTGAGGAGACTGCAGCTGCTCTCTTCTGATGAGCCCCAAGGGATGTGCAAGATACTGTTTCAGCCAATTCAGACCAAAATGTATGAGCCCATGCTTGGCTTTAGTGAGAGTTTGCATTTTGGAAAGCAATTTGCAGAACGTTCTCCGCTCTACTTCTTGTCACTGTAAGATGTTCTGAAGAAACAAACAGTATTATTTGTGACTGAAGTCATGGAGATGCCCTGTGCTACACAGCTGTTTCTCTATTGTCAATGTCAAGTTAATGTTTAAAGCATATGTTGCAAAAACAGAATATTGTGGGCACTGCTCTGGATTTCCCCTTTGTTCTTATAAGAAAAGAATCACTGCTCGAGGGCAATGAAACTAGGGTCAGCATATTAAACAAAGATTACAATTCAGCCCCCAACTTCTTTTATTCAAAGGAAACCAACAAGCAAAAGAAGAGTTTGGATGCACACTCAGGAACCTATCCCTAGTCTCTGCTTGCCAGAAACTAGGAATGGATCACTTGATGATTACCTGTTCTGTTCATTCCCTCTAAAGCACCTGGCATTGGCCACTGTCAGAAGACAGGACACTGGGTTAATGGACCTTTAGTCTGACCCAGTATGGCCATTCTTATGTGTACAAGAGTGTAACACACAGAAGAGAAATTTGCTAGGATGCAACATGGCCAAGCCCAGCTCTGACAATGAGACATCATTTACCTGCATTTGACCACCACCTTCAATTATTTCACTTTTATAAATCTACTTCCCATAGTAATATGTAGATTTTGCATGGTCATCATTTTGGACAACAGAGAGCGTAACCAGTTTCATGTCTCTGGTGTAAAAACTAACTGCAACACTAGGTTTACGGGTTCTCTAGGAGGGTGTCTACAGCCAAAGAAAATTATTTCACTATTAATTATTGATATCATAGCATGGAAACATTTCTACTGACCTTTGTTTTGAAAGAAAATCCAAAGTCTGAGCCCACTCACTTCAACAGTGTCCCTTGAAGAACACAGATATTTAAGGGCCCAATCCTGCAAATTCATTTTGTCAACAGAACCCTATGCTCACAGTTCCTTGGACTTCATTCTGGCTCAGAGCAGCAGGATGCCCATGGGTATGCACTTGCAGGAGTGCAGCCTATGTTATAAAGTAAATGGAGTTGGTTACTACTCCACAGATGTTTACATGGAGACTTGAATCTTCCACAGATGCACAGAAAAACATGATTTAAAACACATCACAATTTAGCATAGCTATAACCCTGAAAGCATTTTTCCTAGTTGAATAGAAATGTTTTCCAATTCCTCCCTTATGCAGCTACTTGGTTACTTATCAGGTACCAACCTGCACTGTCTAAAGCACCAGTGTAGATTAGAGATGTGGGTAAGGTCACAAGGAAACAACTACTGAAATTTAAAGAGACATAAGGCAGTGCTGGAGAGAACACTACTCCCAAAATGACAGACAAATCAATATCACAGGTCTGCATAAAAGTATGCTTTCATCCAAGTGAGAAGCACATAATTATACTGAGAGAGAGAGAGAGAGAGAGAATTACGGAATACTAAGCTCACAATTAACAGTTTCTTCTGCCAATAGTTGCTCTCCACTTCCTTCCATTTACAAGGCTGCATAGCCCTCCAAAAAACCCACCAGAACATTGAGTCAAACAAGTGTAAGAGACCACATGGCCTCAAAAGAAATAGTTGAAGTCACATGTTTGTCTGAATATTTTGATCTATTATTAGTATATGGCAACCCTTCTCAAACTGTGGGTCATGACCCCATTTTAATGCGGTTGCCAGGGCCCGCGTTAGACTTGCGGGGACCCAGGGCTCAAGCCCGAGTTCCACCCCTACGTGGGGTTCTGGCTCCCGGCTTCGCTTCCCTCCCCCCCGATCATGTAGTAACTGTTGTCAGAATGGGGTGCAATGCAATAAGTTTGAGAACCTTTGGATATGGTAATAACACCTAACTGACTGAAAGAGATCAGAGAACAAATATTTCTATTCCCTCCCCCCGCCAGTTTGTTTATTTCGAGCATTTGATGAATCTTTGGGTCCAGTCAATTTCACTTGTTTCCCCTATACAGTCAAGATGTTTCCTACCTACAGCAGGGGTCTTTCACACAGCAGCACAGGAAAGAAAAAAAATTGTATATCTTAAATGTCTAAGTGCATATAACCACAATAATTGGCCGAGGAACTCCCGAGATGTTGTAGTAGTACCTGAAACTATTTTAAACTTTTTTTAAGTACAGTACATTTAACAGTGCATGTTCCTTTAAAAATTGCCCCTCCTCCTTAAAAACAGGAGAGGGAAGAGGCTTGCAGGCAAATTGCCTTATAAAACTAACCAATTAGGGGAAGATAGTGTTTTCAAGAACCAGCACCCTGTTTATTGATGTGATAATAAGGATATGCCTCACTGGCAGCTCATTTGGTTACATAACTTTAGTATCTGGCAACCATTCTTAAACTGTGGGTCGTGACCGCATTTTAAAGGGTCCCCTAACTGTACCCTGGTAATCACTGCCTACTATTTATTGTAAACTCACTTTTTAAAAAGAAAAAACGTTGAATAGTGAAATTCAAGTCCAACATATGGACTTAACTTTAACCGAAGACAGAGAAGCGATTTGCACTAGAGACCTCCAAGAAAAGAGCGAATATAAATATTGGCGCTGGAAAGGGGGTTGGGAAATAGCTCTAAAGGAGGAGGAATTTTCAAAGTAGAAAAAAAAAAAGGCAGTGAAACTTCACGGAGTGAAACCTGAGTCAAACACAGCCGCTAGTAGCTCTTTGGGAGGAAAACCAGTCCCTCCTCCCGCCCCCCGCCCCCCCATGTTTGGAGCGGAAGGCAGCAATGAAACATCATTAAGACTAATAAATTTGTTAGTCTCTAAGGTGCCACAAGTACTCCTGTTCTTCTTTTTGAGGATACAGACTAACACGGCTGCTACTCTGAACCCTGTCATTAAGACCCACTCTCATTTGGGGGTCTTGACATGAATGCCCCTCAGATCGGTGAGAGTTTCCCCAGCAAGAGTCCAGGCAGGTACCATTTACAGCGACTACAGCCCTGTGCAAAACAGGGGAGGCGCAGCAGAAGTGATCCAGATCATGGCCCACAGGGACATAAATAACCATTTAAACTCTAAGTGACTACGGCATTACACTGACCTCAGTTACCCTCACTGGCTACCCCCCTCCCCTCAGTCAGCTGGCCCCAAAATGGAGGCCGGGGGGGAGGGGAGGGGATCGCCAGCACGGCAAGGAAGTCCCGACAGCACCAGCTGCCTGCAGCGCAGAGCGGACCCAGTAGCAGCGCGGAGACACAGTAGCCGGCCGAGAGCGCTGCCTGCGGGCAGGAACGCGGAGCCGGGGGAAGAGCCCGGGAGGGAGCCTAGACTGAACCGCTTGGGAAGGCGGCGGTGGAAGCGGATGGGGCGGGAAGGGCTGAGTCGGGGGTTCGAGCCCGGGGGGAGACGCCCCTCCCGTTACCTTGTGGAGGTAGCTGGCCACCACCTGCTCGAAGGGGTATCTGAAAACCTGGTGCACGTCCACCGTGACCCCCATGCCCCGGGCCGGCGAGCTCAGCTGGTCCCTTTACGAACTTCCCCCAACTTGCAGGGGAGGGGCTACAACAACCCTGGCACACGCTAGCGTTTAGCAGCCAGTTATAGCACGGTCTGCCTGGGCCCGGCTCCGCCCACCTGCCTTCAGACCACGCCCCTTTCCCCCAGAGCTGCGGCGGGGGCGGGGACCTGGGGACCTTCTGGGCCCGCAGCAGCGGCTGGTCCATTTTCTCCAGGCAGCAGGAGTCTGTTTCGCTCTAGGCAAAGGTTCCCTGGCCACTTCACCCTACGTGGAGTGTCACTAGTGGGCTGCCATGCTGAATGTCTCCCCGGCCCAGCCTCAGCCCTGGTAACCCCGCTCTTTCCTCCTGGGCCTTCTCAGTTCTGCTCTGCGGCCCTGCACACTCAGGTTGTGTCCAAATGTTCCTGCTTCTTCTGCCATATCATAGTGTAGCTCTGTCCTCTCCTTTCTGTCCAGACAGCCCAATTCTTGTCCAGATCTTTATCATCTCTTTGTTATTTACTCTTCCTTTTCAGCCTCTATAACACCAACATTCCCCCAGGCCCATCCCAAGGTCCATACAGAACAGAACACAACTGCTGCGATCACCTTCCTTGGCTGTCAGTATAATCACATCACTGTCTCCTTGTTTCGCTGCTTCAAGTTCAAAATTCTTTTCTTTACCTTCCAGGGCCATCATAGTTCTGCCCCTCCCTCATCTCTTATCACAAGACCCTGCCTCTTCCAATGTGCCTATAATGTCAGCCTCCTTCACCTACTTTTCAATTTATGCAAATATCTCTGCTCTTCTTTAATGTCGCTCCTTATGCATGGAACATGGAAGTGATCGTTAAGGTCACTACCTTCTTTTCCTTCAAATTTCTGCTCAGGACCCACCTCTGGCACAACACCCATAAGAAATCCACAACATAACATTGGCTAGATTGAGCAGTGGGGGAGGGGGAGACAGCTGGTACTGTAACTTTTTACAATAATTACACAAAGATAGTGCCAATGTAAATACATAAAGATTTTACATTTGATTTCCTTACTGGCTCACGTTTGATTCCCTCACCCTCCTATATGGCTTGTCCTCCTCATTATTATTCTGATTCATAGTACAGTAGAGTCTACAGCTTCCAGCCAAGATCAGGGCCCCATTATTATGAATCATCATTATTTTTTTCATTGCTGTATCACTTAGGAGCTGTAGTCATGGATCAGGGTCCCACTGTGCTAGGTGCTGTACAAACAGTGAACCAATAGACAGTCCCTGCCCACCCTACAGAGCATGTGCTAGGCACTGTGCTATCAGCTAATGAGAGAGAAGAGGTTACCGTGTAAATAGACAAGACAGACACAAGGAGGGAAAGGAAGTGGGAGTACAGAGAGGTGAAAAGACTCTGCTACAATCACAGAGAAATGTAGTATCAGAACCCATATCTCCCAGCAGCTAGTCCAGACAGGACAGGTACTGTATATGGTGCCTAATACAATTGGACAACTATCCGGACAGGGGTGCCTGTGCCCGATGGAAATATAAATAGTAAAATAATCCCACTGTGTCCATCTGAATGTGGCGTTTTAAGAAAGAGCAAACACATTATTCAATGTTATTTACTCGGTAAAGTAAGTGAACATTTATTAAGTTACTCAGGGCAATATGTAACCAAAATCAGCTGAATCAATTTGAAAGAAAAAAATTATATAAACCCAAATAATTACAACACAGTACTTAATATTATGTGTCCTTCATATACCTGTCTCACAGTGCACACAGACGCAGATCCTGAAGTCCATAGCCTTTATTTAGGCCATGTTCCTATTGAAGTAAATAGGAAAGAATAGATCTCAGTACTAGACCCAGTGTTTCGAACAATGGAAATGTTAAACTAAGGGGTCAAGGTGAATGGGGATAGCTGACAAGGAGAGGTGTGAAGAACTGATAATAGTGCTGGGGAAGGAATCTGTCCAATGAGAAAGAACAATAAATAGTTACTTTATAAATTTACATTTTCAGCTATTTTTTATTGTAAGTATTCAGCTTATGTATACTAGGCAAAATAATGTACATTTCATTTATTTTACACTGGTGAAACTGTAAACAAAGCCAACAAAACTCAAGAAAAGCATTTTGAAATGAAAACCAAACAAAATTTGAGGACAGATATATACTTGATGAGAATTACAGACTTTTGGAGTCGTTTTTACCATTAGTTCATGCACAGATCAGGACCCCATCCATTCAAATTCCCAGCATAGAATGGCAGTGCACCAAGTTAAGGAAACTAAATGATCTGCGATATTATTATGCACTTTTTTAAAAGCATAGATTTGATATCAGTTACAAACATCAGAAGATCTGAAAACTAGGATGGCATTATTTCTAATAATCCAACTGTCTCAGAGAAATCTTACAACATACACATGCCAAAGTACAAACTCAACCATACATTACTCTGTCTAGGCTTGCAACCTCAGCAGGTAGAGCATGTAAGAAGCCTCTTAATTCAGAGTCTCAGAGGTAATATGCAAGTTAAACCTTCATTAACATTACCCAAGAATATCAAATGTAATAAGCTTTTAGAAAACAAAAAGCATTTCCCCTGTTTGCCTCCACTTTTTATGAAGCCCTTGTGTCCTGTGCTGCCACTGGTAGCCTGCTAACTATTTAACATCGCTGCTTCAGCTAAACTAATTAGAGTTTATATTTTGCAAATTACAACATGGGATTAATACGAAGCAACAGGAGCCCTGTTCACCAACAGCCTGATCCGGAGCAGTGCTGAACATCTGCAATTCCCATTAACATCAATGGGAACTGTGGGTCAGCACTTCTGAGGATCAGACTATAAACCACTCCAGTTTTTCTATTTTTAAATTTCCCCATGGTAATTTCTCAATAAGGTTTCAGACTGGGAGAAAGGCTCTAGTCTGCTACTTAAATCATACACTGGAAAAATTGCTGTGTATCATAAGACTATATTTGAAATCTGCAGGAAATCCACTGCAGGGTAGAGTGAATTGCACAATAAAGTATCATTTTAAAATGTCCACCAAGTTAAATCTAGGAGGAGGTTTTGCCAACATGCAGCATTGTTTTTATACAAACATTTTGTAATTTGACAAGTTACTCACATGCTTAAAGTACAGCTACTTCTGCCGTTTACTAGTATTATTATTTTATTACAGGAGCACCTACAGGGCCCAGACAAGCATTGCAGTCCCACAGTACTAGGCACTATGTAAACATGCAGTTCCCACCCTATAGAGTTAAGCATGTGCTTAATTTATAAATATGTGTAGTCCCTTTGACTTCATTGCATTACTCACATGTCAAATTAAACACAATGTATAAGTGTTTGCAGGATTGGGGTCTACTTTAATTAGAAGACGCAACAAGTGCATGTACAAACAGTAATAGGAGTAGGTTTAGATGTACATTTAGGGGTGTGCAGGATGCACTCTTGCCACTTTTTAATAACCTGCTATTATACACTGGTTGCTTTCTTATATGAAGAATAGACAATGTGTACTAAGGTTTCAGTGAAACATTGACCTGGGTACGCATAGGTAGTTGAAGGGATGGTAGATACGATTATCGGGCACAGACCTGGCAAGGTTGCAAGCCATTTTCATTGCAAGCAGGACATCGGAGAGCCCGGTAGGACTCTCTAAATCTGTTAGCCAACATTGAAAACTTGCTTCCGTGGCACAGAGAGCAGGGGGCTGAGCCTGATCCTTTGCACTGAGAGCAATTGTGCTCAGTGTCTCCTTCCTGAAAGAAAAGAATCAAACAAATATCCTTTCTTTAACACCAGAAATCTAATTAGTAACACACAAAGTAGCAGAGAACTGTCACCAGAAGAGCCCAATTTAGGGAGAAATTCTCCTCAAATCAGTACAACAGCTCATGGCTTTGATACACTGCTCTCCCTCCTGCTACCTGCTTGGGTCTCCTATCCTTGTTCTGCCTATAGGGAGCTCTCCAAGGCAGGGACTGTGTCTTCCCATGTTTGTGGGACATGCCTGGCATATTATGATGCTACCACAAATAATAATTATGGGCTGTGTGGAATGCAATGAAGTTCAAGCTTCTTTCCTTCTCCCTCAAGGCTCTGCATAGCTCTCCATCTGTTTCTGCTGGCATTCCGCACCACTCCTCTTTCCTCTGTCTCTCCACCAGTGAATCTTGCCTCATCTGTTCTTTCATCTCCTTCTTTATCTTCCCCCCTCCACACACACCATCATGCCATCTTCCATGTTGCCCCATGCACCTGCAACTGCCTCTCCATCTGTGTGTGCCAGGCACACTCTTTCAAATCCCTCTCAAAATTCCCTGCGTCTGCAGATCCCAGAAGTTATTACATATCTTCACTGGGAAAATGCCTTACTGCAAAAAGGATGTCAATTTCAGGTATTTGCATCATTCATGGACTTCTACTTTGCATAGCATTACAGAGCAAATGGTGAAATTTGAGGGCCTAAGTTAAGGTGTAGTTTGGTGCCAGATACATGTTTTAGGTGCCTACCTGCTGAAAGTCCAAACTGGTGTATTTCAACTTGTAATGATAATACTAATAGGCACCTTCCAGGGCTCTGAGGTTGCACAATATCAAATACAATCTATCTATTCAAATAGACTGGCCCACAGTTACCCTCCAAAAAGAACCAGTCCTAATCATGGAAACCTCACCTTTTACCATATTCTCTTCATTCCAGGTGACCAGGAAAATTGATGGGCTTCGCTGAGCTTCTGCAAGGTTAGACTATTCAAGGACAACACCTTATGACAGCTCCCTCTGTCTGCGTTGAGGGAGCTCCACCTTGAGCACCTCCAC